TAAGTCAACAATGCACTGATCATTGAGTTAAGGTAAAGTGTGGATTCACTTCTTAGTAGTACAGTTGAACCTCTCTGAGTTGAATATCTGGGGACTATGAAAACATCTCGACTTTGAGAGGTTTCAACTTGAGGAGTTATTTTATTTTTTTGAGGTTTTGATAGAGGAAACAAACATTTTTGCTGTGAGGAAAAGTAAAAAAAAAATATGGGGAATTGTAGATGAGGATATTCTGGGCCTTGAATTTCTTCTTGAATAAGTCAACAATGCACTGAACATTGAGTTAAGGTAAAGTGTGGATTCACTTCTTAGTAGTACAGTTGAACCTCTCTGAGTTGAATATCTGGGGACTATGAAAACATCTCGACTTTGAGAGGTTTCAACTTATGGAGTTTTTTTGAAGTTTTTGAGGGTTTGAGTGAAGGAAACAAACATTTTTGCTGTGAGAAAAAGTAAAAAAAATATATATATATGGGGAATTGTAGATGAGGATATTCTGGGCCTTGAATTTCTTCTTGAATAAGTCAACGATGCACTGAACATAGAGGTGAGGGTCAATTTTATCAAATTAGTCCTTACCTTCGGAAACACAGAAAGTTACATTTTTATTTCTTCACATTTTTCAATATAATAATAGGCTTCAAAAAATGTCGAGTCATTGAGGTTTGAGGTAGAAAGCCTTCGAGTGAGGGAGGTTTTTTTTAANTTTAGCAGTGAGTGAGTGCAAAAATGCCATTTACAGTTGGACGTCGCGAAGTGAAAACCTGTGTGTGTCGAATTTTTTTTTTTCAATTCCCTTGAGGTTGTTGTGTATTTAACAACCTATTCAAATCGAATTCCAACTCAAGGGACCAGCACAAAATTTGACTTGGGGTCGTTACAAGTTCGTGAAACTACAGAACCTCAAAAACTCGAATCGAATGTCGGTTTTTGTCGAGTTTTGTTTTTCTTTCAAGTTTTTGCCTGAATTTCCTTGGAAAACCATGCCTTAAAAACATCCGCGACTCTTTTTCCCGCCTGACTGATGAAATTTGAAAATTTATAAAATTGAATAGTGCATTTTTCGGCCGACTGGTGGAGTGGTGGTGCATTAATTCCGAACTCCGTGACAACATGTGGATCTCAGAGTGTCAAATTTTTGTGTCAATTGAATGTGCATCGCAAACTTTTCGAGTGTTTCGTTTTTCTCGCTTTTTCCCGGCGATTTCCCGACATTTTGATGTGTAATTACACGAAGAGTGCATTTCATTTGAGAATTAATCCCGGAAGTTACAGCGGTGCAATGATGTGATTCAATCTTCGAATTGAGAAATGTGTCTGTCAGAATCTAAGCAGAATAACTTGAAACAATGTTGAGTAAAAATTCTATATTACAATTAATGATTAAGGCGTTACGTAAGACGCCACCTACGTATGCAATATTTTCGTGGTAATCAAATGCACGTCACATAAGTTTGAAGTGTTTAATTATATCGGTTTCTGGCAAATTCCGTAGATTTTGATAAACTGGGAAAATTTGATGATGGTGAATTAACTTTAAGTAAGAAATTGTTTTCGGAATCGGCTTCTGTGAAATGCTTGAAAAATTTTTTGCGAACGCTCAATCCCATAAAAATATTTTTTTCTGTGTATTTTTTTCAAACCAGGTTATTTCCTCGTCATTGTCCACGTCGCGGTTGTCAAAATTATCGCGGCAAATTCAGCAGCAGTCGCATAGAACGACGACGTCATCGTCGTCAACGTCTGGCTTTGAAGCGTCGTCAGCGACGAACGTCGTTGATCCGTTGAAGCACTCGTTCAGTAATCCCGGAGAACTCGTCAACGTCGAGCGAAAACAAGTGACGAGCAGCAGCAACTTTTCCCGATCTGTTTCCGTGTCGTCGTCTTCTTCTGGTGCCACCGGGGTTTCTTCCAAAGGTTCGGAAAGCTTTGTACTTTTTGTGAATTCTTTTTATATTTTTGTATGACTGAAATTGGGGTGAAATGTGGCTGAAGTTAGAACGGAAAATGGGTTCCCTTCATTTTCTGCCTTATCTCCAAAATTTATGGATCATACCCCCGAAGACATTTTGCTCATCGATTTTTCTGTTTTCAAAAATTGGATTCAATTGTTGTTATCCAAGCTCAACAAATTAATTCAGACACTTCGATTTAATATAAAATACAATATTATATATGTTTCAATATAGATATGAAGTACACTTGAATAGCAAATAAAAACAGATTAGATTTAAGAGAGACTTCCAAAATTATGCGAGGAATTTTCTCTGAGAAAATACTCCGCAAGATTCTGATTCTTCTCTGGGTCAGCGCGGAGTTTAAATAAATGATGGGCAAGTATTTTTCGAAAAGTGGCCTGGGAATCATTTCTTGGGCATGAGAAATGATTCCTAAATTATACTTTGATTATGCTGCTCTCTATACAAATATTTTGGGAAAAATGGGATTTTGGAAATTAATAGGGGAAGGCCGTTTTTAATGCATGCAATTTTTTTTGGCAATTTTGCAACTAGAGAGGAAACTTGAGAAAATTGCCCTTGCAATTTTATGAGGAGATTTTCTGTCAAGGGGCATTTAAAATATATTTTTCTATTTTCCTGATACAAATTTCGAGAGTAAAGTTTGGATAACATTGTCAAAGTGAGATAAACGTAGACTTTGTTGTGTCAAATTGAAGATGATTATCCGATGAGGTTTGATGAAATTTTCAAATTTTATCTGAAAGTATCTGATCAAATTTGCATGGAAATAACAAACGCGGAAACGACGTGGACTTTGATGAAGTCGGCTTTTCTTCTTGATGGAAATGCAACCGAATTTAGTTCCCAATTTTATATTCGAATTACGCTGAAATTGAAGCGAGGAACGTGGTGATTAATTTTTGCGTTGTTGAAAAATACTGCATGTGAACCATCCCTCCTGAGAATTTCTCTGCAATTATTTCCAACGTTTATAATTATTTTGTGTTGTTGTGGTTTTCGCCAGGTTTCAGTCGCCTTCAGCCGAATATCCCATCGTTGGAAATCGTGGAGACCGACGATGATGACGAGGTCGAGGGTGACGGAGTCAGGTCACCGCTGGTGGAAATGCCTTTGGAACCGTCGACAGCGTTGGTGTCACCGCCTAGTTGTCCACTCCTGTCGACTGTCGAGTCAAAGTTTGAGAAGAAAACTTCCTCGAGGTCAAGCACGAAGATCGTCACGGACTCCTTCACTCGAGAACAGTCGCATTCTTCGAACGAACAAGTCAAACGTCTGCAAACTGGTGCGTTTACTGGGCTTTTCATATTTTATTGTTGTTGTTCTGGTTTATAATATTTTTGTGTTGTCCCCCGAAAAATTTTAGCAATTCAATTTCAAAGTACGAACCGGTAGTTTTATCGAGCCAAGAATTGTTTCTTCGAGATTTATGATACTCATGGGATATTCGAGGAAGTCAAACGTCTTCAAAATTGATACTTTTAATGACTGTTTTCGATTGTTAAAAATCTGTGCTAATTACGGAAAAGCCACACGCTCCGAAACGGCAAGCTATTCAAATTTTTCGAAATTTTAAAATAATCAGAGCAAGTGCATCTCATCCCGAACTGTTAGTTTTTTTTTTTAGCTTTTCAGATATTTTTTTAAATTACAGAAAGGCCAAGAATGTTTGAGAAATTGTTTTGAACGACAGTATTTCCGATAATGCGAGAGAAAGAAAAATAGGCCTGGATGAAAGTTGATTTCCTTTGTTATCGATTTGTTTTTGTTTCATAATTTCATTCGTCAAATTATTCTTGCCTTTATCATTGTTTGAAAAGGACTCTGCTCAGTCTTGACAGCACAAATGTCGTGAACGCTGCAGTACATCTTGTAAACTACCAGTTTGAAAAGCTAAATTTAGTCTCAAAAGGAATATCGACGTCATTGGCTTTAAACTTTTGCGTAATTTTAGTTATTCGAAGGTTATCTCTGATTTTCAAATAATTTCAACCTTTAGAAAAAAAATTCGTTCCAATGCGGGATTTTGATGGTCAATTTTGGCAGGTGATCTGACGATAGAAGAGAGCTCGAAGTCGAAGGCCGTCAAGGCGAAAGTTGAGGTGGATGGAGTGACTGCTGAAGAAGCTACAGCAGTTCGATTGGTGAGTTTATTTTTTCACTTTTCAAATTTTACTGTTACATGGGCGTTTTAATATGGATTTTCTTACTTCTGTTTTTGAGTTCCTTCTTTTTTTTTTTAAAGAAGAGTTTCTGGAGAAAGATACGGAAGGTCACGAAATATTTTTCGTTGAGGTACTGGATGCGCAACGTATGATGTTCTTTTTTTTTTTTAAGCACACCATGGTGCAGAAGTTTTAATGCGTTTATTCATGTTTTCAAAGAAACATTACAAACTCAGTTCAACTACAATGAACTTTTTATGCTTCCGGGATAATTATTCAGACTCTGTGCATGTGTTGGAGCCAAGATTTTTTGTAAAGATCTTGAAATTCGATTTTCTGTTCGTTTTTTCATCGTCTCAAATTCTAGAATTGTTTTTAGGGGTCTCAGCAGTCCGTTGGAATGCAGGCCTTTTGGCAATCTTTTTTTTTTTCAGTACGAATCATTAAAAAAATAGCACCAAGAACAAATTTTTCGCTTCTAATTACAGTAATTTCCGAGATCAGATAATTTTTACGAATTGATGATGGGTGTTATGTTAATGGGGAGATTTTTAATAACTATAATGCATTGAGATTTTTGGGACATTTCATGAAGTATAGACTGCCTGAAAATCAGTTGAATTTTCGAATGTGAAAGGTAAAGATACGCTAATAATGCATTTTGCTTTGAACTTCATTTTTCTCACCATTTTGACCTTCTTAATAGAAAAACGGAAGAATGCCAGGATAACTTTGTTTTATGCATTTCTTTAAGATTTTGATCCATCAACTCAGAATCTAAGCTATGAAAATGTAATGATGACAGAACTTATGAACCGACCCCAGTGTGGTTTATTCCGTATTCAGAAGAAGCATGCGAGTCACCAGTTGTAAAAAAATCGGATTCATTTGCCTATTTTATTCATCGTATAATGAAAAAAAATTTTGATTTTTTAAAATTAAATCTTTTAAAATTCATAACTGTACAAAAAACATAGGAAGCTTTACTAAAAAAGCAAACATAAATAAAAATGATGTAATTTCTACTAAAAATAAATTTGCTATTTTATGAACAATTTTGTGGTTCGAGATTGACGTCTTGAAAAGGGACATAAACCGTAAATTTGAAGTTGATTGAAAACTCTGGTGAAGCAAAAATGATTTCCTCCGGGAAATATTGAAAAACATGGAGAATTTTGCGATAAGTCTGGTCGCGTTCACGATAAAAGCAGGCGACAAAGAAGCACCAATTAGCCTCAGTAGTAAAAATAGCAGAAGGAAAGATCACTTCATGACATGGGTACTTAAGATCTTTATACTATGTTACCCACACCTTTAATAAAAATATGTCATGCAGATTTTCTTTTGGCAAACTTTATCCTCCTGCTCCTGGCGTAAATCTGGAAAGTGCATCGCTTCACGAAAGTGGTTACATTTTATTTTTGGAAATCCCTTCTTTGCGGCTAATCGATGCTCCAACGCGTGGGTCGTCGTGTAAATTTTTTGTATGCCTGTTTCATGGGTAGGATTCACGAGAAATATTTCTGAAATTTTTGCAATTTTGCGGAAAATGACTGATTTTTGCGCGCAGTCCAGTTTTTTCAATTCTCCGCTCAGCGATTGATTTGCAAGGTAGCGCAGTTTTCATGATTCGATCATTGAATCTGATTGTCAAGATCTAAATTACAATATTTTCTCTTCTCACTTCATAAAAAATTTTCTTATAGAGGTTTGAAAAAATGCGTCGACTGTTTTGTGTTACACTGATGCAGTTTTCAGATTTATTACATTTTCTACGATTTATTTCAAATTGATGATACAAAAATTTTTTTATGTCAATTTTTCCAATTCTTAGCAATGTGATCAATTTTTAAACTGCGTAATACGAAAAAGGATCCTCTGAATTATGTCATCCTTCTACATTTTAAAACAAAACCCCCTAATGAAAATTTCTGGAAAAAAAACGAAAAATGTTTGTGCACTACTGTATAACAATTTACTGTTTCCTCATTAAATTCCTGGTTTTTAGAAAATTCTTGCGATGTTTTGGTATTAATAGTGATGCACAAAAAATGAAGTACGAAAACCATCTGATCACTGGATCATGTTTTGGATTATTTTTTGAGCACTCTGTTTCTTTTCGTCTACCATGTTGGGGGACAGATGTCGCTAACTTCTCAACCGTACCACAGACACGCTGGAATTCCAACTTGGAATTCCAGCTTGGCATTCCATCACTGTCCATTTTCCTAATTCATGAATTTCCACGCAGTCTCAGATTACCAGAGCACCACACTTGAAGATAACGACAGAAAAGCACTAGTTAAGACTTTATATGAACAAGTTAAAACCTCAGGAATGGCTTCCCTGAGGGACGGCACAAGGGGCCGCCTAAGACGCGAAATAAAAAAATTTTTAGATTTATTCATCTTTACTTATAATTTATCTCAATTTTCGTTGTTCTTTGTGGCCTGTGTGCCACATACCACATGCATATAGACGCGGAAACTGGGTTTCACGCTGATAGCCAAGTTTTGTTGTTGTTGTCAATGCCATTTTCCTTTGGTACAGCACTTGTATTAGAATCAGATGGGCGGAAAATTCAAATGTAGAGCATCGGAAAAACAACCTGACAATTATTTCAGATAAACTCGCGATCTGAGTTGCCCTAATTTAAAATTGAGTTGTGTTTGGAAAGTGCCAGGAATTCAAGTGATCGTGGATAACACATGCTCATCGCTATGAGATTAATGAGTGCTGATATGAAAACTTTTTAAATTCATTTTCGACACGAACGACGGGGAAGATTCAAAGTATAAAAAAAACGAGAGCGTGGGCATTTTTCAAAAAATTAAGTCTTGGACCATCAACATTTTTGATGAGAGATTTCAATCAGTTAAAAAATATATTAAGAAATAAATCTGAGCTTTGCTTGAAAGGGCTCAGAAAAATCTACAGGATTTCAAAAAATGTGGTATAATGTGAGCATAAATCATCCAATGTGCTAATATCTGATTTTCTCAGTGTAATATTAGATTATAAACCGATTTAATTACCATATTTGAATTAATATAATGCACGTAAATTCATCCTTGAAACGAATGACGAAAAGATTCAAAGTCAGAAAAACAAGAGCAAGAGGGAATTAAAAAAAATCAAGTCTTGAACTAGCTACAATATTTTCAAAAGATATTTCAATCAGTTAAGACATATTTTAAAGAAATAAAGTCGAGCTTTGCCTGAAAGGGCTCAGAAAAGTCTACAAAATATCAAAACACACGGTATATTTTGAGCATAAATCATCCAATGTACTAATATCTAATTTTCAAGTGAAATATTAGATTATGAACCGATTAAACTCAATATTTGAATGATTTTAATGCACGCAAAGCGAATAAAGTATGTTTCTTTCAAGAGTGTCAATCAATAAATTATTATAGATCAATCATCATGATTGCTGCACTTGGAAAGCGAGCATTATCTACATTCTTTTAAATTCTCCCAACATTTGCCACATGCCTGACATATTTTTTGCAGTGTGAAACATGTGTTCTTGCTTACGGGAATATTACAAATTGAAGTGGAGACCACATTTTAAAAATAAATTCAGTATAAAGTTTTATTCGGGCTGATTGTTTTGGAATTCGATGAATCTTGCAATTTTTAGGAATTTTCAGCAGAATCTATTCCATCTTCGGCGAGGAAGAAAATCAAGTTCTAGTACTGCTTTATTTTTTGGAAAGTTGTTGATAGATATTCAGCATGAATTCATGTACTGTATATAGTAAAGCGTGGAATTTCTCCGGGGAAATAACGGGTTTTTATTGGGAGTCGGAAAAGGGAAGCTTCTGCTCGGGGTCTGTTGGGCCCATGGTCTTCCCAGGAGAGAGAGACGGCTACCCAAAGATATTTCACCCATAGCATCACCCCGTGTACGCACGACCACGCAAAAGATCCTTACCGAACTACCCTTTGTATGCCCAGAGTTCTGGTGCACTTTTCTGGGTGAACTGCAGGGGTTTTTTTTTTTTTTTTTTTCGAGCCCAATTTTTGTTTACTTCGAGTATATTCATCGCGAAGTGAGAATATTATGGAGTTTTCATCTGGAGACGAACAGGTGAGAATTGTAATGCTGTTTTTTTATTTCTTGAGTTGGGATTTCTTGTGAAATTTGTCACGTATTTTTTTCTGCAAGAAGTTCGTTGGTTTTGATCTCGTTTCCGGTTTTTATTTTTTAATAGCTCTAGATTTATTTTTGAATAAATTTTGACCTTTTAAAGTCATAATCCAACAAGTAAAAGGCGTTCCAACTAATATAAGTTAACTTTGTATAAACTTGTACACTTTTTTTAACTCGTTGTCAGCTAATAAAGTTTCGAGAAGTGCTTCCCCGGAAAACGTACAGCTCAGAATTTATTCGTGTCAACATTAAAATGTCTCAGGATGAATAATTTACGGCAAGAAATAAAATATTCATCGTTCTGTGAAATGACCTCAACAGAATCTGATCTATTTTAAATCTTCGAAAATAATAAATATTTTGGACACTTCATCACCCCGAAATTGACTCAAAAATTCGTTGTGCTTCATCAATTTTCGATCCAAGATATCCTATGAAATTTGCGCCTCTAAACTCCCCTCTGATGTGTTATCCAATGCAAAATGCGTAAATGATGACGAAATTTTTTAAATTCTGCTATTTTTGACCTTGATTTCAAGGCTCGCGCATTATCGTGAACTTTCGAACCTTTCCGTCGAATTCCTGATTTTTTTGTGTGTGTGTCGAACACGTGAATCTCGACACTTTCTTCTTTCTCTCTCTTTTCAAGTATTCCGACTGGCGTCGACTCGAGATAAGCAGAGACAGTTGATAAACACCCAAAACTTTTCACATCATGTAAGCTTTTGAAAGAAAAAAAAAAGGCAAGAAGAAAAGAAAATGATGGACTTTCCGGGGCTGAATCATTTCTTCCCTGCTGGTTTTAGCTGATAAAAGCGTT